GTCACCTTATCATCATTTTGAATCAATAGCGAGCCCCTCCCTGTGAATTCACCTTATCATAGTACCTTATCACATATCATAGTACTACTTTAATACTACTCGATGCTTGTATTTGCATCACAAATAATTCATAATTATTTCCTTTGCCTTTAGACATTTTACCAACACGGTGAACTAGAATGGGAATCTTTATTTTCATTAGAGCAGAGGTTCAATGAACGTGGATACAGTCCCATTCATTACAAGAAATAAAAACAAAACAAAAATAATAAAAAAATACTTAAGAGTAAAATATTGCTGAGCCATAATGGAGGCAGCAAATCAGACAGTAACTGCACCTCTCTGGTACTAACTAAATAATAATAATACAAAAGTGAGTTATTTCTCTCTACAATACTGTTCCTGCAGGGATATAATAGCTACGCTACAGTAATCATTTTATTTTTGTGTTAAAGCATGTTTTCTTTTTCAAACAATAATCTCCATGATTGAGCGTCTACTAACCCCAGCGTCCCTGGAGACGATCAAGACGTCCACAGCAGCATCAAAACATCCCAGGAACAGGCCTCATCTCGGCTTTATTACTTCCCTCCCTGTGGCTCGGCGTGTGGTGTGAGGCTTATGTGTGTGGGCGGGGTCAAAGAGGCTCAGTCTGAGGGATTATCATTGCAGTCCGCGCCCATGCACACGTACACACACAAACAAACACGCACGGACAAACATGACAGAATTGGACGACTGCTGAGATTTTAAGCACAGTGGGCCCTGCACCCTCCCCCGCCCCCCGGCTTTATTCATAATCAAACAAAGCTTTAATCTCTGTCATGCCCATCCCAACATCCCACAATACATCTGGAGATCACCAAGGAAATGTGAGAGGATCAAAACATAGGTTAAGATATGCAGTGATGGACCACAGTCCACGGAGAATCATCTGTTAGCGAGAGACAAAAGAGGAGCTGGGAAATTTCTAGTTGACTCCACCAGGGGGATCAGACCTAGACGATGGAAGGAGAGGCAGCTGATGTGAGGGGGACGAGAGGAGAAAAAAGGAATGAAAGGTTGTGCACCCGAGAGGAGAGGAAGAGGAGGAAGACCTCAGAGATGATGGTGGACCTCAAACAATGTGACCCCTCGTCTGTGCCCAGTGCCAGCAGCGGTAATAATACTCACTGACCTGGAGGAGTACACACAGCGTCTTGATTACAGCTACATGTGTTTTTTATGTTTACCAGACTGCCTTTGTTTGTCTCTTACCTACTGTCTGTGTATATTATCATTCATCAAGGTCATGTTTCTTTAAATATTCTGAGTGAGTAGTGTTTGGCCTTGTACTGCAGCCACAGAGGTTTATTTCTTTTGGAAATGGTGATAAACCCAGGCTGTTAACCTCTGTAAGGAGTGCTCAAACATAACAATGGCAGAAGGACTACAGTACTGAGCGTCAGGACCAGGACGTTGAAGACCAGAGTTGTTGTACTGATCTGAAGTTGAACGTCAGATTTATTATGTCGTGGCTGTAGTTGGAGACGTTGATTAAACACTTGTTTGGAGGCCGTGGAGTAAGGACGCTCTGTTAGGTCTGTTTGTTTGCTTTTCCTGCAGTGTCTACTGTGTGGAGTTAATCATTGTGATCACAATCACCTGTGTCTCTGTGATTCGTCTCACTCACCTCTCCCTCACTCTGTCTTGGTGGGGTCAGTGTTCAAACCTGAACAAACTGAAATATCTAGAACCTGAGGCTTAATCACAGAGATGAAAATCATTTTGTCTTGAGAACATGAATTTGTTAGACTTGTGTGTAAGGTTAAAAAAACCATACAAACAAACAACCCTGATAACAGTGTGATATTCAGTGATTGCCACTGTTTACTGTGGTGTTGGTTACAGCAGCGTTTGTATGATTAAATATTTTTGGTTGCTCTGATTGTGTTTTTGTGTTTCTTACTGAAGGTTTTTCTCATATCAAATTACTGTGTTTTCACTATGACTCAGTTGCATATTATGTTTTAATTTTTTTTTTGTTTTGCTCCAACTGTGTAGTGTGTTGTTCCTGAGTCACAGTGGCACACTAGGTTGACTGTGTGTGTGTATTTTTGCCACCTTTTACTACACACAGCCAATAAATCTGATTTTCTTTCTCAACATTATTTATTCTCATTCTTTCGTAACCACAGCAGGACATAACCTGCAACTTAGGACACACTGGCATGTAAACCAGCCTAAAATGAAACTGCCAGTTCTGTCCTTGATCACCTGCTGTAACTATATTAACCATCTGTTATCCCTTGTCCTTCAGATGACCACAGTTCAGCAGCCAGTGGCCTGGACATGGTGGACCGTTTGACCTACCTGGAGCAGAGGATGCAGATGCAGGAGGATGAAATCCAGCTGTTGAAGATGGCTCTGGCCGACGTTCTCAAGAGGCTCAACATCTCTGAGGAACACCAGGCAGCTGCTGCTGCTGCAGGCAGGAAGGTGCCGGCTTTTAAAGGTGAGTTCACTGTTGGCTTATCCACGTCCCTATTAGAGCCACCAATAGATGCAGCAGCCTAGGATGTAGCATCGTCCTATAAATTGGTAAAGAGATGTCGTGAGACTGTTTTCAAATATTTTTAGTTGTCTATGTTTTCAAATCTTATTATTGTTATTATTTGTGTGTCTCTGCGTTCCCACAGCCAGACCAGTATCTCTGACTCTGCCCTCCAGACCCACCGTGGTGCAGCAGAGTTCAGCCTCTCTTAAGAAGAACTCCCCGCTACCCTCTAGCGTCCCAGTCAGGAATTACAGCCCAACTCCATCGCTCAGGTACGGCTGTGTGGATGAGTACAGCGATCATAGGTCAAAGAGAGGCTCAAACTGACAAACCATACAGCAGCACAATGAACCATTTACATTAAAAACAACAACAACCATAGAACAAGAATCAGAATCAAAGTGCACTTTTAGACTATTTAACCATAATATAAAATTTAAAAAAAAATTCAATTTCAAAAACCCAAATTGATTTTCATCGTGAAAAAAAAAATCAGTAACATTCCTCTCACATCTGCCACAACACGGCCACAGGAGGTCTTCTGTGTATAGATTAAGTGTGAATTAGTTTGTGATGAAGCAGCTCACTGTAACAGTACAATCCAACGTCTCCAGCTCTGCTTCTCATCATCTCATGTGCACAGGGATTGGCAGACACCCTCCATTATCCAAGATACACTGCAAAATAATTATTCCGACTCTCGCTTTCATTTCAAAGCAATAAAGCAGTGAACCATTTCCTGCACATCTCTTCCTCTCAATTACCTTTCTAACGATACTGCCATTAGATGGCATTAGTCAGAGAGTGTGATGGCTTCTCTCTGTGGGCCCTGGATGTGCTGATGCCGCCGCTGCTGCTGCTGCTGAGGCATCTGGAGGATTCTGATATAATTGCACAGAGAGAAGTAAATCTCTTTTCACTTAAGGATGTTGGTTTATTCCTCAATAAAGTGGTCCCTGTTTATACAGTCATCGTACTGTGCTTTTTTTTATTTTCATTCTTTCAGTAGCGTGAAGAGCCAGCCGGGGAGTGTGAAGGACAGCCCATGTAGAAGCACCAAGACACGGCCCACATCAGCAGCATCAATGTGTAAAAAAGAGGGGTGAGAAACAATTTATGAATTACAGAAAATAGACTCCTATTAGAAGTGTTTTCTTCCAACAATCATATATTAAAAAAATATATATAATAAAAAATATTGCTATTGACATAATATATCAAATATATTATTTGACTTAAATGTAGCATGGACTTCTGCAGTGAATTTCTTCCCACTTTCAGAGGACATTTATGCTTTAACTATTGCATTGAAACGTAATGTGAAGATTTACACTACTACATTTTTTTTTACACGTGTGATACATTCACTTTCTCGCCCTGTCAGCAGCAAGTCCAAGGAGGCTGCAGCCAGTGCAGGTAAGAGCAACAGAGATGGCTTCACAACAGCAAAGTAAAAATGACGCTGTTCATGCCCTTATTTACTAACTGTGTGTGTGTGTTGCCTCGGACCAGGGACAAGACGTGTGACCCACTGTAAAGGTAGGCGTCGCCACAGGAAATATTCTATTTTTTGAGACAGGAAATACTGTTTAGATCACTGTTTCATTTTTGATCACACTTCATTTGATTTCACACATACCTCACCATGACTGGTGTGCATTCCCTCTCCTCCTTGCGCCCTTGTTTTCTCCACCACCCCCTCAAACCTCTGCGTCCTCACCTCATTTCACCCGTCCACTTAGTGACTATGCAGATCTATCTGAGCCCCCACCCAAAAAGGACTGGGTCTTCTGAGATTGCCAAATCAGCCTCTGAGGTGCCGACCAACACCGTCGCTGACAACGCTCAGAGTAAGGAGGGCGGCAGGAATGAGGCCAACAAACCTCCACCGTCCTTTACCTTAAACCTGCAGAAGACCTCAAGCAGCCACAGAACGCAGCAGGACAAGTCCAGCTACAAAAGCCCCACCAAGTCACCCAGCCAGTACTTCCAGATCTGCTACTGAACCAACTAAACAGAATGATTTATTTGGTTCAATCTGGACCTAATGACATTTCAAATTTGTTGAACTAACACCACGTAACATCACAATTTATAAACCAATAGCATTCAATAACACAAAGACACAAAGAGAAAATAAAAGTGCAGTCGACAATCATCACTTGGACCTTGAAAACTTCCTCCCATTTCCGTCCCCCCGGTCATGTCTCCGTTCCCCATCAGTGGGGCCCGCCCCACACTTTGAGAAGCACTGTGTCAAATTAAGATTATTACAGTATTCCAAAAATATATTCCTTCAAAATGTTTCCTTTATTTATATTAATACAGTATGAGTGTTTGTTTTTAGTAGTTTGTAGTATGTTTTAAGCTCACGGTTTAGCCGACCCGTTCTCTAAAAAGGCTTCATCCTTCATCTTTAAGCTTCAGTGTTCACTGTTTTTTGTACGTACAGTTTGGTAGTGTTTTAATATGTTGGGTCAAAAACTTCTTGTTAGTTTGTTTATGTGATGTTTGATGTAGAAAAAAACAGACTCGTGTTTGTGTCTTTATTACTCTCAGAAAAAAAATCCTGGTTCAGCAAGAACAATAAACTGTGAAAAATTTAAAAATGAATGCCATTAGACTAGTTTTCTCAGAAAATTCATTCATTAAAAAAAGCTCATGTTTTATGTCTACCACAATTTAAAGTAAATGCAGTTTAAGGAGTCAGGAGATAATCTTGGTGCAGAGTAGTTCTTACTTTTGACTCTACCACTAGGATGGACATAATCACAAAATGGTATTTTCTCTGCTAGGAGGAAGTCGTACATTTGTGTATTCTTCTGTAATGTCAATGAATGTTGATTTTAGATGCTATAAAAATACATTTTCAACTGTAGGTGACACAAGGTGCAATAATGTTCATCTGTGGTTTATCTGAGGATTATCAACATTATGAGTCTTTTCTGTATATATATATATATATATAGTTTATCTCTTGGGAATGTGGGTTGTATTGAAAATGTTTCCTTATGTAAATGCCAGTGCAAAGGTGAACCAAAATGAAAAAAAATAATCAAATGTATGCAGGTAGCAAAACAAAACAACAACCTAGCGACAAATGCTGCTCAAGAATTAAGAATCTTTATTTGTCACATGACATTGCAGACGTGCAATTATTTTCAAATGGTTAAGTAAAGTGGTATTTTTCTACTTTTATATTAACATTTTATATTCTATATCCAGTCCAATTAAATCAATCTAATCTAATCTAATCTAATCTAATCTAATCTAATCTAATCTAATCTAATCTAATCTAATCTAA